TATTAGATTGGTTTTTTTGCATATATAAACCCAAAATTATATATAAACCCCTCAATACTCTATCATTTTTATTTTTCAAAGAAAAAAATATATCTTTATTCATTAAATGAATTAGTTTATATTCATTTTATCTTTATTTAATCCATGCAACTCACACTTTTTAATGTTTTAATATATCCACAAACATCCAAAATAACTGTAGTTCACATTCATTTCGTATTATAGCCGTGTTATTATAATAATCATTTGAAACTAAATAATTTTATTATTTTTACGTAAAATTATATTAGAAAAAGTCAAATTTGTCAGATACGTCGTCCTGCTTATTGTTTTATTTACGAAGGTGATGAACAGGCAAATAAGTTTCAAATATATTTATTTGCATTCAAAATATTTTTTTATTTTTTTATTTGAATGAAAAAACAAGTCCAATTCAACATCGTGCATTTATTTTGAATTTAAATTTTATATTATTTTTCGTTGAATCTTTTATAATGTGATCATACTCACCGTTATTTAAAATAAATAGTTATATTTTAAATTAAATAATATTATCATGTAAGTACTAAATTATTTTCTCATTAATTAATTTATTTTATTATTTCATTTACTCTCATTGAAATAATTCTATAAGCCAAAATAGGCGGGCTGCAGCTCCAATGTTTTTCAAACAAATCCAGTTGTTGCGCCCTTTAATCCAACCAGCAATTATTTTAAGAAAATAATATATATTATTTAAATAATAATGTCAATTTCTACAATCAAAAGAGAAGTATGATGCCTAGTAATATTCCACAACATGTAATTAGCATAGAGAAAATTTCAAAATATCTTAATTTTTTTATTTGTATATTATTTGTCTTTCAATTAATAAATAAATTCTTTTAAGATATTAAATAATCGTTCGAAGTTCATACCATGAACACTTTATTTGTCTAGAAGGTTAGAGGCATTATGATTTGATTATAAAGATACAAAATTTTATAATCATTTGGTTCATTAATTAAATTTTTAATCATGTTTCAAGTACATGATTAAGATTCAGTCGGGTTTAGATTGGATCCCTTTTGGTATTATTGAGTTTCTCTTGTCGAGACTATCCATTTAACTGTAAATTTGTTGATATTGATATTTAGATGTAAACAAATAATTTAGTTATTCAAATTTAATATCTAGGCTTCGTTTGGGACGGCTTTTTTACTGCTTTTTTAGTATAAAATTTTTTATTTTTGTATTAAAACTTCGTTTTAAAAAGCAATAAAAAAGCTGTCCCAAACAAAACCTTAGTGTACTATATCTTAGGAAAAGCTGATATGATTTGATTTTGGCCTTATGAATACTCGAACCTAATTTAATATTTTATAAATATGTAGCTAAATAATCATTGCAAGACAATTTACTTATTTTATCATACTTTATTGTGTTTTATCGATATACTTTTTTTTTTTTTTTTTGTAAATTTTATGATTCTATTTATTTGCTGAACTTATTTTTTATTAAAGAAAATATTTATTGTTTATTAGATTTAGTTATCGGATACCTAAAGGATGTATGACTTGTAATCAAATATTTCATATATATGACTTAGCCACTCAGTTATCTCTAATAAACATCTCACAATTTCTTGGTATTTAATAATATTTCTAAAACTCGCGCTTTCAATTTCAAAATTATATCTGTAAAAAATGCTTTGTAAATGAAAATACGATAACATCAAGTCTTTATCGCAATGTGGGTCGGATCGACTACATAAAATTAAAATTGATAGATTATAAGAAAATCACCTTGATTTGGCGTGAATCTCAATGCATATTTGAATTAGAAATTCTTAATATTCAATTTAGGACCATCCAAACTTGAATCTCAGCAAACTTACAATCAATAAGAACGTTTCAACAAGACGAGCACGATGACACCAAAATCGGTCTAATTTGAGTCAAAATGGGTTCGAGTCAAGGAGCAGGAGCATACTTGGATGCTAAAGTATTAATTTAGTAACAAAATGGGTTTTAAATATGGCATATCTATAGTTGAGTCGAGCGGCTCGACAAGATGAATCCATCGAGTCTAAGTTCACTTAATTCTGACCTCATTAAAGAACTTAAATGTTTAATGAAAGCTGTATGATCAAAGGAATCAATATACACTATCTAGTGGAGCACTCATAAATTGTCCTATATTTTCTCCACATTTACAAAGCATGTAGCTCCTAGAAATACATAAATAGGCCCTAATTCTGTGATACCTCAGAATCTAACTAAGAAGAATTATTCTTTTATCTTTAAAAAATAATAACAAAAGCTACCTAATTTCTTTTATCAATATAAATACTAGTTTAAATAAAACTATCGATCAAAACTTCAATATATATGCATCAGTATTAATTTACTCAAAAATCATATACACTACTAAGGATCTATATAATCATATCATAATTACTCTGTTCTAAGTACAAAAAATAACTAAAATAATAAGAACCTGAACTTGAAGAATCATGATCAGTCTCACACTGTTGATCATCTACCTTGACCTAAAAATATTTAAACTACATATAATGAGTTTAAGAATCTAGCAAGTAAGCAAATCCTACAACTAAACTCAATGCATGACAAAGAAGCAATATACATGTCAGCAATCAAATCACAACAGTTATAATCACATGATCAAGAATAAGTACATAAATAGTAAATCTCACGTGCAGTAGCAATAGAATTTGCAAACAGTAAAACAATACCGTATGGAAACCGATAAAATAATATAGTGGAGAAATCAAAAAACCAGCAGTTCTCGTATCATTATTATTAATCAGTAAATCAATCATATAAAATGGTAAAACCAAAGCATTACTACAGAACAGTCTAAATCATCTCAATAAAGTAAAATTCTATAATTATGTATATATGATATCCAATATGGCACATGCTCGATACATTCAATATTCTTCACATAAAGGGGAGGAAGACAAAATGTGAAGAGAGAACTAGTGAAAGCTCTTAGCATTTTCAAGATATCTATGTCGTCGACGACCACTAGCTATTGCAGTCGACAACTGCCATCTTCACTTATGATTAACATTTTTTTGGATATTTAGGCCATTTAAGGCAAACTCACAGACACAACGCATACACAAAGACTCGAACCCAAGACCTCTTAGTTTGAAGCCTAAGCTCTCAACCAACAGGCCAAGGTGAGTTGTGTATGATCAACATTAGAAATCTCTATAATCTCCATGATATTAATAATATTTAATCATACTGTTGGATATACAAGTCCACCTGTGAACATCCATTAACTCTATTGGAGAAATCAAATGCTGCTGTTGGGTACTAACTATCATATTTGATTTTTTATACTCGCCCTAGATTCTACAGCTGGGTCGGGCTCGATGGTTTTTTCCTTTCCGACTTTTTTCACATAAAAATTCTCTGGTCTTGCTACTTTTATCTGCTCATACTAAATTTGTGTATATTACTAAGATGCTAAACACACACCCATTTTTGCAAACGGGTCGATTTTTCGAACCCGAACCCGACCCGCTTCGGATATATTTTATTAATTTTTAATTTAATTCAATTTATTTAAATCTAAATCAAATTAAGGTAATATTTACTTCAATTAATTTAAAATAAATCAAGATTAATTTAATTTGGGCAATAATGCTTATAATTTTTTGAAATATCATTTACTTATTTCATAAAAATCCATTAAAACCCTCATAAACTAATTAAAAACGGGTCAAACCGGGTTGATTTCGGGTTTCCGGGTCAACCCGAACCCGACCCAGTTTTACAAACGGGTCGAAATCCCTAACCCGAACCCGACCCGGTTCGGGTTTTCGGGTCGGGTCAAATATTGACAGCCCTAGTTCAAGCCGAGCTCGACTGCCAGATACCGAGCTCGAGCTTGAGCTTGAACTCGAGTCGAGCTCAAAATCCGAGCTCGAGCTCGACTCGTCTCATATCGAGCGGCTTGTCGAGCTCAAAATCGAGCAACTCATGCCGAGTTTTGCCATCGTCTCATACACTGCCATCCTGAGGTCCGTCCATGGCTGCGTTCATTCCGAGCTCCGCTATCCAGATTCGAGCTTCGCCATTATCGTCATCCTGAGCTCGATCGTCGTTGTCTCGAGCACCGCCGTCAAGATTCATCCATCCATGGCTGCATTCGTTCTGAGCTCCGCTGTCCAATCTGAGCTCCGCCATTGTCATCATCCTGAGCTTGTTCGTCGTCGTCCCGAGCACCGCCGTCGAGAATCGTCTGTCCGAGCTTGTCGTCGTCGCGTTCATTCCGAGCTTCACCGTCCATAATCAAGCTCCGCTGTTGTCGACATCCCGAGCTCGTTCGTCATCGTCTCGAGCTTGACTATTGAGATCTGTCCGCCTGAGTTTGTCGTCGCGTCTAGTGTCCACTTTCGAGCTCCCTCATCGTCGTCCCGAAGACCCGAACACTTTTGTCATTGTCCCGAGCACGTCCCTCCATCGCGAACTTGTTCCCGTCAGTCAAGCTACTCGTCGAGCCGACGAGTCGGGTTTGAGAGCTGATCGAGCTCGAACTCGATAAGCGTTCGAGCTCGAAATTGTGTTCGAGCTCGATAAGCTCGACTCGTCGAGCCTGTACCGAGTCGAGTCCGAGCTGGCTCGCGAGGGGCTTGACTCGGTTGCACCCTAGTGTGGAAGCAACCGACGCTTCACATATTCACAATCAGATCTAATTGAAAATTACAGCCAAATGGAATTTGAAAAGATCAGATAATATGCTTTTAAGGGAGAATTTCAACCAAACAAACAGTCGAGAAAAATTCCACAAAGTTCACTCGAACTGCAATTAAAAAAGGAATTTTGATGATAATTTTTATATTTCAAATAAAAAACATAATTCGAGTTTGAAGAACATATAATACGACAAGAGATATGCAACTTTAGATATATGCGTATGCGTACTGACGAATTATTTTAATTTTGAATCTTATTAAAATTCTGTCATCGGCGTATGATGAAATTTGAAGATTGGTATCCATTCACGTGAATAAAAAGCTGATAACTTGAAAGCGAAGGAGAAAGCAAACGCCATTATTACGGCGAAGAAGAAGAAGAAGGGAGAAACCTAACGCGACCGCTCCACTTCCCTTCTCTATCCACTGAGTGTTGAGTAGAAAACAGGAAAGAAGAGAGGGAGAAACGGAGGGAAGAAGATGGCGGGGGAGGAAGAGGTGGGGAAGACGTTGATAGTGGGAATGAAGATGGATGCCAGAGGAAGGGAACTTTTAACTTGGTCTCTCGTGAAGGTTGCGGGAGCTGGTGATCGGGTAATCGCGATGCATGTTCTTCCCGCCGGTAATTAGATTGATCTATGGAAAAAAAAAAGTTAGGTTTTCATATTCGTGGTTGTTTTGGTTCTGGAAAAATCTGAACTTGGCGGCGAATTTTTTGGTTGCAGTGCTGGCGGATGCAGATTGGAATCCCTCTTCTTTGATTTCGCTTATCAAGCATTTCGAGTCCGTGCTGGCTGTTTATGAGGGTTTCTGTAACCTGAAGCAGGTTTGATTTTCGAATTTTTGGCTTTTTATCCTCTATTGAGATTTGATTTTTTTTTTCTTTTTTAGCCGGGATTTAAAAATTTTCTTTTGTTTTGGTAATTTTCTTCGTTTAGATCGAACTCAAGATGAAGTTATGCCGGGGTTCTTCCATCCGGAAGACGTTGGTTCGGGAGGCGAGCTCTGTTTCAGCCTCCAAGCTCATTCTTGGAGCCACCAAGAGCAGTAATATTATAGGGTAAAGTCATCCGCCCATTTGATTTCCTTTTTTTTTTCTTAATTCTTTTCCTTTTCCTTTTTTTTTAATTGAAATTCTTTGGCTGAAATTTGCAGTTCTTCATCCGTCTCTATTGCCAAGTACTGCGCGAAGAAGCTTTCTCGCGGTTGCTTGGTGCTGGCTGTAAACAATGGGAAGATCATATACGAGAAAGATGCCGCAGGTTTGATTTTTAATTAAATTTTCTCTGAAATTCTTCACTTAGGTTAGGTAGAAAAGCTTCAAAATTGCATTTTTTTGGTAACAGGAAGCAAGTTGACACACGAGCTTCTGCAAAAATGCGATTCTATAAAGTTGGATGATATGAGTTCGGAAAGCACAAGCCCTTCTATCTCTTGCCAGCTTACTGAATCTGGCGAAATTTCAAGTTTTGATATCAAGGATGGAAATTCTAGTAAAACTACCTCGACTTTCGATGATTCCTTGGGCAATGATGAATCTAGAGTTGATGAAATTAAGGATCACACTTCGTCTGAATCTGAGGAGATGGCGTTGGATGTAGATCCAGTTAACGAGCATGAGAGCTCTGTGGGCTGTTCATCAATGGCGACTCAGGAATCAGCTGATAGAAGACCTGGCTGGCTTCTCCTTAGAAGAACTGTTCTGAACCAGAAGATGATTTTATCACATGTGAAGTCTAAAGCTTCAGTTGTTAAATGGGTAATGCGGCTTCCAAGCCGGTATTATTCATCATCCATGGTTCATACCGATCATCGGCGGGTGAAGTCTGATGTCTCTGTTAAATCTGGTTTTGATGAGGAGGTGGATGTCATGGCTCCTTTGAGCCCAGCCACAGTGTTTGAGGAGCTCCCTAAGGAGTTGCTATCTCTTCTACAGAATTATTCATCTGTTTGCAGGCTGTTTAGCTACAAGGAACTCTTGCAGGCGACGTCCAACTTTAATCTCGGTTTGCCCTTTTCCACCCTCATTACTACAATGAATTATTCTGTGCGGACGTTGAACACCGTCTAGAACCCAATGAAAAAGCACCACGTCACCCCTACTCGGTACCGAACTGCTCGGTATCGAGCTCGGTACTGGATGACGTGGCTGCACCTGATTCGCCTCTGTACGTTAAGCTGTGTCCGGTGTCCTCACTAAATTCTCATTTATTTTATGTATTTACATATAAATTCTTATGCAAATCTTGAAAACAATGCAGCCAATATCATTGGGAAGGGAGGGACCTGCAAGGTTTACAAGGGTAGCCTAACTGATGGGAAGGAGCTTGCATTCAAAGCTCTGAGATGTTCGGACAACTTGATGGATGATTTCATTTCAGAAATTGAGATTATTACCAATTTGCATCACAGGAACATCCTCTCCCTGTATGGGTTTTGTGTTGAGAACCACCACCTTGTCTTAGTTTATGATTTCTTATCAAGGGGTAGCTTAGATGATAACCTTCATGGTAGGCACATACATACTTGAAAAATAAAAAAATTTCCATCCTTTTTATAGAAATCTTGTATGCTTATTCATGTCTGCCAATATAGGGATCAAGGGAGACAAGATTGATCTTATTAGCTGGGCTGACAGATTTAAGATTGCGATCGGCGTTGCAGAAGGTCTGGATTATTTACACAATGATAGCAGCAGGGAGCCTGTGATCCATAGGGATATAAAGTCATCAAACATCCTATTATCTGATGATTTTGAGCCACAGGTATTGTAATTTTTGCCTTTCCATTGAGAGTTACTATTCTCTTTAGATTTCTCGGAAAATCATGACTTAAATTGCTTCTATTGGCTTGCCTTAGATATCTGATTTTGGTCTGGCTCAGTGGTCATCCTCATCAAGACAATCCAGTAAAAACACAGATTGTAGTGATTTGGCAGGCACATTTGGGTATGATGCTTATATTACAGGTTTATTGTTGCGTCTATTTTTCTATTAATCTTCTTGGACATATTTGCTTAAGCAGATATTGCTGGTCATCTCCTTGCAGGTACCTTGCTCCAGAATACTTCATGTATGGTAAAGTAGATGCAAAGATTGATATTTATGCTTTTGGGGTTGTTCTTCTTGAGCTTCTCTCAGGAAGGAAGCCGGTTTGTACAAGCCGACCGAAGGGCGAGGAGAGTCTGGTCATGTGGGTAAGTCTCTTATTACAGATACCAACGGGTTCTTTGCTGTTTGTTGCATAATTTAGACTTTGTTTGAGACGACTTTTTTCTGCTTTTTAAAGCGGTTTTTTATTCTAGTATAGAATTTATAATTTCTTATTAGAAAATCGCTTTAAGAAACAATAAAAAAAAGTCGTCCCAAACGAAAGCCTTAGTCAGTATTTATATGAGATATATATCATCACCACCTATTCAACATCTATTTGGCAAACCGTTTTCAGGATTTAAGGCTAGTTAATTCGATGATTAAAGCTTTCTAAATTCTAATAAGTTTGTTTGTTTGACTATTTGTTTTAAGATTTAAGATTTATGGGATAGAGCTTTGGTGACAGGCAAAGCCCATTCTTCTAGTGGAAAATTTTGATCAAGTGGTGGATCCATCACTGGGAAATAATTATAACATTGATGAGATGGAAAGGATGTGCCTTGCTGCTTCTCTCTGCATCAGCCAAGCTTCTCACTCTAGACCTTCTGCAGCTCTTGTAAGAGAGGATCTAGAATAATTTCTTTTATTTGAAAACTTTCTTCCTAAGATAAAGCATAATAGCCGCCACCAAATCGCAGGTTCTGAAGCTTCTGAAGGGTGAAACTGAAGTGATAGAGTGGGCGAGATCAGAGCTGAGAGCTTCAATGGCTTCCGAGGAGTCGGACGATGAGTCTGTACTCCTGCATTCAAACATTCAATCACACATTAATCTTGCACTTCTTGATATGGAAGAAGACGATGAACTCTCCACAAGCAGCACAGATCAGTCGGCTAATTTCCTAACTTCAAATAGCTCTTTAGAAGACTACTTGAAAGCAAGATGTGGCCGTTCATCAAGCTTTTGACTCCATTATAAATGGAGGAGAGGGTGTGATATTGTATAGTTAGTTCTTGATATAATTATATATTTGGTTTAGCTGAATTGTAATGGGATTTAGGAGGTGAGAGGTTGTTTGATGTGCCCCCCTCCTTAATCCCACTGGAATTTTTATTCCATGAGGTTAATTCTGCTTAGTTTTTAATTAATTAATTAATTAATCCTCTTATATTTTTTTTTCAGCCGAAGGGCTTGAAATTAAAGGGAGATTAGTGTATTGGCGTGTTCAAAGGAGAGCAGCTCAAATGGTTCTCTTAACTATTTGTAATTAAAGTTCAGCTTTCAAGCAGAACTTAACTAATTGTAAAGAAAAATGAGAGTTTAATTGAGACTAAGATAAGTTATTTTACATTTCTTTTTTGTCTGTTCTGTATGTTTAGGGGTATTAAATTGCATGGTCTGAGGAGTTATTTTCAAAATCTTGTTTCATAGAGATTTATGGTCTATTGACGATATCTTTTTTTTTGTTCAAAAAACAGTTATAAATCTATTTAGCTATATATTTTCTTTTCGGTGCTTTACAGTATTTTTTGTTGTGAAAAATATTTTTTTTTTATAATTAGATATATTAGAATATGTAGTAAATATAAGAAAATTATAATTATTAGTAATTTAAACAATTTAGTTTTTCCCATATAATAATTTCACATGTACTTTACAGACAAGCATTCAACTGCAAAATGTTGGAAAGCACCATTACAGAGAGGTTGCAGACCTCATGGAGAAGAAAAGAAGTAGAGGCTCTAAGAGCAAGAAATTACTGAAATTGTTAGAAATATGAGAGGGGCTTCTATTTACAATATATATATATATATATTATTTATTTTTTAGGGCCCTCAGTATTAAAGAAAAAAAAAAGTGAATTGGTAGTTGAAAAAGGTATCTAAAAGCATGAAAAAAAAAGCATTTGATGATTTATTAAGGATAAGGCATGGAAAGTAGTTGGCAGCTCTGAAAAAGATGCAGAAAGTTATGCAGACTAGAAACAAGTTGAAAAAGCTGATATATATATATATATTTTAGGAGCTTCTGAAGTAACGAATTGAAAACTTGAAAGGATGGATAACTCTCTTTGGCCTATTGGTTGAGAGCTTAAGCTTCCAATTAAAATGTTCAGGATTCCATTCTATGTGTATGCATTGTGTGTGAGTTTATCTTAAATAGCCTAATTGTCCCAAAAAAAAACTTGAAAGGCATAGGTCTTATTAAGGTAAGGCCTATTTGGTTACTATGTCATTATCAAACCTTAAAAATGAATAGGATTTATTATTTAATTAGATGTACCTAAAATTTATCATGAATTTTAAATTTGAGAGGTGCTTTAAAAATTAAGTTAGTTTTTTTCTTTTTTACATTTGAAATAAGTGAAATTAAATATTACTTTTTTTTAAAAAATTATTTATTTAAGAGCAGGTAAATGAGTTTTTAAGTTGAAAATAGCAAAAAGTTAATCACATTTGCAGAAGGCTTGTATATTATGTAAAGGATCAAGCACTAGCTTTAAGATGTGGGGTATATTATGTCACAAATACATTTAATTGATACAAAAAGTCTATAGTTTAATGACATACAACTTTTCATGCAAGGTATTGACCATAAGTTGATCAAAAAGACCCAAAGATGAATTTGACTGATTTCGCATGAAATAATGCCTGACCAAAAATATGATTTGAGCTTTGATGACCCCTCAAATTGGTCAAATAAGCCTAAACCCAAATGAGAACAAGATGGTTGTTCTGATCTCCTCTTGCTATCAAACTCATTCAAAAGATGGTGCACCTTCCCATAATTTTTACAATAGACCAATCATCAAAAGTTTGATTTGTCAGAAGTTATTTGTTCAGTGTTCAAACTCATCAGTGCTTCCACATTAATTTTATTACTATGAAAATCAAGTACTGAAGCTTATGAGAGCTTAACACTTCACCATATTGTTCATTAATAGATTATTTGGGATGAGAACTTATCTTTTTTTAATCACAGTACGAGTATGCGTTAAAACACAAATATATAAAACTCATTGTCTTTGATGGTAAAATACTTAAATTTAGATTTCAAATAAAATAAAACACAAATAATCATCAAGCAAGGGTCATGTTCAGTCTTAGAAATGAACTATTATTGTTACTGGTTTCTGTAATAAGGTAAGATAAATGCCAACCCTGAAAATCAAAATCTTTTATGTAACTGGATACAAAAGAAACTGATTAACAGTACCAAAAAAAAAAGGGGAAAGTACTGAAAGGAACCACTCCTCAATCCAACATAATACATCAAGTGATCCGTTAAAATCATTAGCAAAACCTGTTAAGCAGAAAGTAGTTCAAACCAATCGAATATCAAATACAAACCTAAATAAAAGTTTCAGTTTTGCATTGCCCGAAGTTCCATCAAAATAATAGAAAATAACTATACAACAAAGAAAATTTTAAATGTAGATTACATTATCAACTTCTAAGCATGGTATGATAACAAGTCATCCGTAATCCACTTGTTAATAACAAAAATATCATATCTTTCTGGGAGAATGTCTCTCACAGATTTGATCAGTATTTTTTCCTAGAAATACAATCAGACTAAATTTAGGAAGATATTCCCACCTAAAATTCCTTATGCTTAAACTATGAACAAGAGAAATTTGCTAGATAATTAATAGAATATTTTTTTATTAAATTAAAAGAATATTGTCCACAACTACATTTAAAAGAAACAGTAATCATGTTTTTGCATGCCATTGAAACGTCTGTATTTGGGTTTGATTGTAGGGCCAGCTAAAAATAAAATTTAGGTTTTCGTTTGGGATGATTTTTTTTATTGCTTATTAAAGCGACTTTTTTTTTTTTGGGACATTTAGGCCATTTAAGGCAAACTCACACACACAAAGCATACACAAAGACTCGAACCCATGACCTCTTAGTTGGAAGCCTAAGCTCTCAACCAACAAGACAAGGTGAGCTGTGTCTTAAAGCGACTTTTCAATACAAAAATTGAAATTTTTATAATATAAAGCCACTTTAAAAAGCAATAAAAAGGGCATCCCAAATGAGAATCCTTAATTAAAAGGTCGTAAAAAAAAAAAATCTGACAGTTGATATTAAGATCAACGATAAAAATTAGAGGAAAAAAGAAGGAAAAACCGCATCAAACTTTACATTGCAGGGTTAACAAAAAACAAATTATCAGAAGGATAGTAGGGTGTGTACATAGACCAATTGTATTTTAAAATTCTGAGAAAAATAAATGCCATGAATAAAAGTGATACTTTACAAAAATAAAGTGATAAGATTATCATTTAAATGCAAATTAAACCAAAAACCAGTGGCAGATTTGACATAACCATCCGGAGACACTGTTGCAAAAAATAGAAAAATAGAACTCGAGAGAGGTAAGTAGAAGGCAGAAGAACTAGGGACTAAAAAAGAACATGAAAATAATTAGAGAACACAGAAAATTGCTGACTTAAGTTTCATTTAGGAATTTTTATTGCTTTCTAAAACAACTTTTTTTTAAAAAAAAATTCTAATTCAAGAAATTTTTATACTAAAAAAATATTTTAGCATGCATCCAAAAAACTGTCTCAAATGAAGCCTGATGGATTTCTTACTACATCTTAAAGCAATTTTTTAGTATAAAAATTTTTAAACTAAAAATATTTATACTAGAAAGCTTTTTTGAAAATCAATAAAAAATTGTCTCAAACAAAGCATTAGAGAGGAAATGTTCACTGGTGAGGTCTACAAACAAAAATTTGGGTTCAGGCCTGAATTTGGATAACATAGATCAGCCATTCCACCAGTTTACAAGGTGGGGATGGACATGGAAAAGCAAGGGGAAAATATACAAAAGATGCAATAAGAAGATGCCAATAATGATGCCTTTGAATTACATGAGACCAGGATTTATAAGTGCTTCAAATACATTAAGATTTTGTTTTACTTAAAACCAATCATTTAAAAATAAACCATGTAAAATGCCTATAATTGAATACTTTACACCCGTTTTACTTGTGCGGCTTACAAAACTAACGAAATTTTTTTAATATCATGCTCCACCCTAAAAAAAGAAAAAGACCTTACGAGATGAACTACAACTAGCTGTTAAATTAAATTCAAATATCGTGGAATAAATTTGACATAAACTAAAAAAAAAGTTATTTATTTGCAACGAAAAATGAGAACTTCGATTATAATATATGGACCTGTAAAGAAATAACAATTAGTAGAGGATCACCTATTTGCCGCTTTTACTCCTTTTTGTTTCAAATAATCGAATCTCAAGTTCAGGTATTTTGTTGGCCAAGTGGAGTGAATACCATCAGTATTTACACCGACTGGAAGATTGAAATCGCCACCAACAACTGTCCTAGAATTTCCTAAAATCTAAAACCATTTCTCTGTTCCTGCATATACCTTTCAACTGAAAGCATTCCCTCTCTGGGACCAACGGGACCCGCATCTTTGAGACCTTTGGTTATTCCACTGCTGAGGTTTGAAGAACCTTCTCCCATTACCATATTTAGGAAACCTTGCTCTTTCATTTCTAGATTGAAAAATTTTTTCTTGTAGGCCTTTTGCCTTGGTCGGAGTATTAATATTTTCATTAAAAGATGTGTTCCATGTGTTTGATGTACAGGGCTCTTGTCGAGGATATGAAGGCAGGGGAGGGAAAGGTTTGAAAGGAATAGCAGGTGCAATTTTCCAAGATGGATCGAACTGAGTGCTGACTTCAGTTTCAGGGATTCCCAGCTGATGCATCAGGTCAATTGGCATGCCATAAGAAACAGTTAAGTATGGAAGATATCTCTCCAGCGGATGCCCAATCACCACATCTCCTGTCATGTTAGTAGCTGAGCTAGCTAGCTGAGGGCATTCATCTATGCAGGGAGACTCAAACCCAGGCGGCATTTCATCATCATCATCACTATTTTGCTGTAAGGACTCCTGAACAGCGATAACATCAGAAGAGTTGTTTCCTTTAGTCTGTGCCTCTGATTTTTGCTTTGAAACATCAATATCAGGAAGAGGCTCAAGTTGTGAAGGCCTCATGTGCTTCATAATACTAAGCATAGGCTGATCAGTTAAGCATTCATAAGCCTGTCCAACAGGAATAGTGGCATCTGCTGGCTGGTCCCATCTGCTTTTACGTTTTCGAGATCTTGTCCTTTCTATTGGACTATTGTCAGTGAAGGATGCAGAGCTGGACGCCTGTTGAGTAGGAAGAGGAAAAGCTTCTCTTTGCATATCTACTTCAGATGAAGGCAGGCAATTTGCTGCACTACCACTAACTATCGAACTAGATTCTTGCTTTCCATGCTCATGCCACGAATGGATTTTTGATGTCGGACACCAATTATGGCGGGGATACTTAGTACATATATGCTTACCATCTTTCTCAGAAGGCTCCACCCTACTAAAATTACGAGGTATCCATTGGTCTGCAAAGTTTCGTGCAATGTGAAGAACCTGGAATTACAAATATAAGTCCAGACAAATCAATTGTTAATGTTAACTAAATCAGAAACAAAAACGCCTAAAAATATAACTTCGGCAGCACAAAATATCAGTTGGAACCAATAGAATTTGGCAAGAAACGAACAACACATCATATTATAACTGCAGACTTTTTAATTTAATTTCAGCAACTTCAAAGTCACATACTCCAAATAACTGGAAGAATGAGTGCTGGAAGCAATTATCACACTACCATAGTATCGAATGTAATCTTCTGTTCAAAAGGTAGCTTCCATTGTACAGTTATCTTTTAATAAAAACATGACCTGAAGATATTGTCAAAGGAACAAATTTAAAGGCTGCAAAGCTAATGGTATAAAAAGCTAACAACAATAGAATAAGACTTCTCGCTAGAAGGATTCACTAAGACCAACATTTTGAAACCCAAACTGGTCGCTGAACAGTTAAGCTGCAATTAAATATAATTGCTTAACAAGACCATATGAATCTGAAAACTTCAATTTATATCGCCGTAATTGGGAAAATTGATGGAAACTACATCTAATTATAACCACCAAACTGAGGTAATTTAACGGGATACTCGAGGGACCTTAAAGTTAAAAACTATCCACTCTTCGACCATCAATACTATATTCAAAGCAAAAATGATCACGAGTATAGTCTCCCAAACTGACCAACAGCCGGTCTCCTCATGAGTCATTTTAGAGTTCAATAATGATCTATCCTTAACAAAGTAGTCATATTTCAATCCCCAACTTCTTCATGCTAAACTCCATTAATATTACCCCATGTCACTGCAAAGTTAAGTTTGCCCTTGACTTATTCTCTAGTGTATTCTACCAAAATTAAATCCACAACTAGACTGCCCTTACACCATTAAAAATAAATTATGTCAATCTTCAGTGGATTCTACCATTACACAAATTCTCCTCCAATAAGATCTTACCCCTAACCAAATCCTATATGGATCACTATGTATTAAACTCACAAAACACATGTGGACAATCTTTTCCCATCCAGATGATCGGCATGATAAGAGAAAGATTCTACCTGACCAGAACCCTCAAATCGAAGTGTCACCTCCACAAACAAAACACAACACATCTTTGCTCCCAGATGATGGGTGCGACAAAATCCAAATTCTAATTAGATGAGAACCCAAAATTAACTACGTCTCCACAGCCAAATGTTCAAATAGCCCTTCTACAATATCAAACATGATTATATTGATAAATAATTAAATATCAATCTATACCACAAATTTTAAAAGTCAAGCACCAAAAGGTAAATATCAATCTATACCACAAATTTTAAAAGTCAAGCACCAAAAGGGATCATCATTCTAATGATAATCCAATGGACTATTAAATCAACACCCAATAAACGTCAGATGTTTGAGACTAAGAAATTCAGCAACAAGATAAAGGTCAAGGACAGATCACAATACAAAGCCCTAGATAACGATTTAAGTCATTCATCATGCATGACACTTAATATAAGCACATGGATAACCCATAATCTCTTTCAAATAAAGGAAGAATAATTAAGAAGTTTAATTTTTAGATCCCTTATGGATAGATGGGTTCACCAGCAAGAAAGAAAAAATTTCATGACCACTCTACTTGTTTTATTTGGCCAATCCGAATTTTCATATGTTTTGAGACTTTAAATTTACTTATTTAATTTATTTTTGTATTACGACAAGTTCCAAGTCAATATAGTAGTGTTTTATTGTCTTTTAAGGCTTTCTAAAATTGTTTAAGTTTAAAAAAAACCTACAAATAGGGTCTTGCTTTGTACTTTCTGATCCATTGAGTCAAAATTATTTTTACTTGCACAAATTTCATATGAAAAGTTTAGTAGCTGCTCTACTTTATGGTGAAGCTTGGTGGCTAATCCTCTAAAATATTGGTGAGTCTTCCGAATCTTTTCTCACCTTTATTTCTCCTTTTACCCAACATTATTCTCATCTCCTCTATATAACATCAAGTCTAGCCACCCATAACTCTAAAATAAATCAAAACCCTTCAAAACTCTCCAAAATATTTCCCAACATCTCTCATAACCTTATGAGGCCTAAACTCCCCAATAACCCTAAGATATCTTAGCTAAAATATCAATATAGAGAACAATTTATTGTTGTAAACAATCGAATAAAAAATATCATAACTCTGTAATCATTGATAAAAAATTTATAAAACGCCACCATTAGTTTCCTAACATCTTAGACATTTGCTTTAGAGTCTCTCCCCATTTTCTTCTAAGCAAAACCTGCCATTTTAATAGCCCAGAAGTTTCAACACTAGTTTAGTCAAAACCCTAACTATCAGTTTCACCAGCACCCAAATAAACCTTTCAGTACCAACCTAAGGGAAAACCAAACAAGTTGTTATCTTTATCATAAAAATCCTATAAAGCCTACATCACCAAGACCTAGACGGTAGATCTCCCAAAATCACCCAAATCTTTTAAAGCCAAGAAAGCAAGAATGCAACATCCGCGACACTTCATTTAGTAAAGGCAAAAAGCCAAAGATAGAAAATAACTATAAACTCATCAGTACGAAGATCGAGTAAGCATAAGTTTGATCATAAGTCCAATGTGATGGTGTTGACAACCCTTCATGACCAGTAAGCTAAAAGATGACCAAGTAGGAGGCACCTATCGGTAAGTTTATTACCCAAGCTAGTATTTTGTCTTCCATTACAACAAGATTCAATGGCATAGATTAAAGATGATTCTTAATAGTTCAAGTAGCATATGATTGGATTAATATTGTAAACTAAAATAGTCCTCAGTATCGACATTTGCTCCTCTCTCAATAAAAGGATCGTGCCGACAATTCAAATCTCAACCGAAGGAGATACCTATCCCAACATTATCCCAAAACTAATTCTCCAATGCTAGAATCTAATATCGACACTGGCATACACCAATGATTGTAAGGCCTACAAACCCAAACAACAAATCTCAACTCAAGGCATACTTGCCAATGGTGAATAACACACCATAATGCAAATATTTCATGAACCATGGCCCATAATACATTGAGTAGCATGTGCTACTTCAAACATAGCAAAAAATATTAAAAAATACGGATAAACATGGAGCTAAATATATAAGAAAAATTATGAAAGACAACGACGTTGAAAAATAAAAATATCATACCAATGAAAAAAAATAAATTTATAGGCACACCCGATGTTAAGAAAAATTATGGTTGTAAAGGAATAAGTTACTGAAGGGTTGTTTGGTTTGAAGTTACGTGGGAAGAAAGTATTTCAAATGCAAGGGATTTGAAAATATTGGAGTTTGGTTGAATGAAAAAGGAATGCAAAGTAAAGTACAAATATTGTAAACCATTTTAATTCATTTTTGAGGTAAACTGAACTCGCCCAATTTTGAGCGAGAACAATTTACATCAAGCTCGCTTGACCGCCGCCACCACCCATTGCTTACAGCTGCCACATGTCGCAAGCTTCCTCCACCGGCCACCAATGACGCTATCACCACCGCCACACCACCACCTGTTGTTGGCCACCGCCGCCACCACCATATTTAGATTCCACATCCACTTTACTTCAAAAAAAAAAAAAAAAAAACATTCACTTGCATTTACTTTACACTTATCTAAACAACTTCAAATTATTCATTTTATACTTCATTCCTTTTACACTGCATTTCATTTTCAACCAACCGAACAACCCATAGAAAGAAAATAAATTAGTTTGTATGCATAAACTTCATTCCTTTTACACTACATTTTTTTTTCGGTCAACCGAACAACCCATAGAAAGAAAATAAATTAGTTTGTATGCATAAACTTCATTCCTTTTACACTACATTTTTTTTTTTTCGGTCAACCGAACAACCCATAGAAGGAAAATAAATAAGTTTGTATGCATGTAAAGGCAATTTTGCTTCTATTCCTCCAAAACATGATTTTCAGTGAAAGCAAAGCTTTACACAATGGCAAAATGTCAAGAAAAATGGGGAAAGGCATGTAATTCAAGTTGCTCTGTTCTAAATTGTGCAGTTATGCCTTTAGATGAAGGGAAATTAAGAGTAACTTGTCCATCCTGATATCTAGCATTCAAGATATCATGATGATGTCTGCACATATAAAATAACTAAATTTGATTTGTCAAAGACCTGAAAAGCATCTGAAAATGTTCTTTATTTCTTTCGTAAATAATATATAAGAGGACTTGCAGGAAGGAAAAGATTTTGCTTTCTTCCGCACAAGGTGATGACAAGACTGACAGACAAAGAGGATTCGACAGTAAGACTTCCGCTTGAGAGCAAGGAAAGAGTAGCAACCATCATGCGAAAAAGCGATGTCATTAAGAGTGCCAACTTGAGTTGAAGCAATTTCCAATTCAAAGCCACAACCAAAATGCTAACTTTGAAGCCTTAAACTCGGGTCGGAGTAGGTGCGTACGTGAGTGACTTATCCTAGGAAAACCCTAATAAATATAATTAAATAACATTGTTATTAATTCTAAGCAATAAATTAGAGAAAGGAAAATGCATGCCGCAAGGGCAATGCATTTTGCGTGAAGTTCATAAATAGCACAAAATGCTACATAATACTACGTCTTGCAATGCAAATACCATGCAAGGGTGCACCTAGACATGCTCCAGGCAATATCATACACTATTGACATGTATTGTTGAAGGAAGCCACAATAATCAATGCACAAACTCCACCAACTCCAATTCCTTAAATTATCAAGACACTAAAAATATAAAAAATAATAAAAATATGCACATATACTAGAAATATTACAGAAAAGCATAAAATATAAATAATAAATATTGTTATTTCCTGCACAGAGCAACTACCCCTCTACCCCCACCCACACTAAGCTCGCTAAGCGCCAAATTCAAGCTCAACCTAAGTATTTTATTAATGCAATTAAGTAAACCAATTCAAAATTCTACATCAGCAAAAAATGTTATACATGCCATCTAATTGGGTGGTTAGTCTGGCTACGATGACATTATTATATATTCAAGGGAAAATCCCAATATGTTCCCCATTAGCAATGCATTTTAATATGGCAAACTACTGTCTATTAGCATACATTGACCTAAAGCTAGCCCCTTAGCAAGATTCAATCATAAACCTATGAGATCCTCATAGACAGAGCGACCCATTGCTAAACACAAAGATCCTCCAATCAGATTGGTTTGACTACTTTCAATGAAAAAGTAGGGTCCATGACTTGTTTGGGATAATGGAATCCTTCCCCCGGTATGGCAAAAGTCACCCAACTTCAATGACATTATGTTCTCCAAAAGCCATAGATTTATAGTGAGGAAAAAAATTGTCAGTTAGCATATATCGACCTAGAGCTAACCCGTTAGTGAGCTTTAGTCATAATCCTACGAGGTCCCCAAAAACAAAGAAACGCAGGCAACCAAAAAAAATCTTTTACTCATATTGGGTTGATTCTCAACCTACCAACCCCCCCCCCCCCCCCCAAAAAAAAAAAAACACAACAATTACTACTAAGCAAAAAGAGCAGAAAGTAAATGCTCAATTTCTGTAAAAGGTCGAATGAAACAAAAAAGCAAACGCAACATAAACCTATGGAGAGTCTTGCTAGTAGCCTTAATTGAGAGTTCGCTCTCTACGATAATAAGTATAACCTTCAAAGTAGTAATATGAAAGACTCATAATTGTTTAGGTAATAGTTTATAATAGTTTGAATCAACCTCCAGAGTCCACAATCTTATATTGTTCTTTTTAATCTTTCAAAGCCTAAACATGACAAAGAAAAGTAGTTAATAGTTAAATTGGGATCCACACACCAAAATAATGCTTAGGTAGCATAGTAGTTAAAGAATCACAATGCATATATTGGAGTTTATAAAAATAATAATGTATTTGCAATCAAGTATTAATCAAAGTCACAATAAAATATCAATGCAAAAATGTTTAGCAAAACACAATGCTTTAAACCATAAAGTTGATGCATTTTCTCATGCAAAATATTATAGATAAGATGAGCATGATGTACAAATAGTCAGGGATGCTGCCTCACATCATTCTAGGAAATGTACATTGAAATAGTGTTCAAAGCTGTTAACTTTAACGGGTATAAAGAGCTTTTCTCTTAACAAAAAATCTCCATAATTTCATGATTCGGAATAGCATAGCACATGGAAAGCTTGTGCCAATCAAAGAATATCTAGTTAATGATGGATTCAGGAAATTTAGTGCCATAAATTATAAAAAATTCATACAATCCAAAGAAATTGAACTTTTAAAAGAGACAACGAGCAGGAGGATTGGTCATCCACAACTTTTTCAAGGATGAGGAAGAATCGTGGAAGAGATCAGTAAATCATTTGTTACCTGAGAGTCCCTATGCTTCATCAGCTTTAACATTGATTCCTTGAAGCTGCATAAAAAATTTTAACCAACAAAGTAAAAAATTCAGTCATTTATTGAAAACAGTCAAATTAAAGATCATTGAAGATAACAAGTAATAACTATCACTGCTGAAAAAAAATTAAAACAAGAATGCATCTTCACAGAGTCAATAAGAAGACAGTGAACCTAAACAGGAAAGAGATCATGATAGTATATGATAACAAAATTAATATGATAAGCACAAGAAATGTTATCCTTGGTGGCACGAAGGTGCAAAGCACAGAATGGTAGAGATATCGATGCAAATAGACTATTATACAAAAGAAATAATGATGGCAACACTTCCAGTGTGTTAGATTCAAGTGCTTTGATCAATTAAACAAAAAAAAACGTGGATATTTATTAGGGCGTAATTACTTAAGTTAAATCAAGATGGTAAACATGATAAAATGCAAATGAACTGGGCGTCATTTAAACAATATCGATATCTGGTAATACTAAAAAGGTTAAAAAAATGATAAACAATTGAGAAACAATGAGAGTAGCCTCTACTTAAGTGAGGGTTGTGAAAAATAAATGTGAGATTTGACGAAGATACACTAATTATACAATAAATAAAACAAATACCAAAGGTTATGCAGATAAAAGTTGCACAAAGCCCAAAAAAGGACTTTCATAAAGATAAAACTGACACCACTTTTAGCACAAAATAATTTTTTTTTTAGATCAATAGAAAAGCTTTTATTTAGAATACAAAACATATGAACAAATGAGGAATCATAAAGCACTCTGAACAATTCGGGTAAGGCTATGAACATGATTATGGTATACTAATAGCCACATACTACAAAGAACTGTACTGTTCCAACACGCATAATATAATTCTCGAGAAACAATGCACAAAAAGATCATCTTACTGTGGCAAAATTAAGCACGGATGAGCTCTGAAAAGAAAACTGATTAACAACTAAGAGAATCATGAATTTATATGGTTCTACTGAAATGCCCAAACCATATTATGATGTACCCATGTTTTTTGTTTTAAGTAATATAACAAGTGGATGCTGAACAAATTAACAAGGAAATTTAAATCATCTTGATTTCTGTCCATCCATCAGAATCACCTTTTGACAGTTTTGCTTTTAACCATAGCCTGCTGTAATAGTTTCAGGCTCTTTTCATTAATGAATCAAAGCTCATCTGAAATTATTTTAGCCTAAACAAAATGTAACAAAAAAATCTAAACTACTATTGAAAAGCAACTTGGAACTTTGTCCTCAAAAGATCTTGACGTTTATCCATAAAACCTCTTTGATCAATTAAAGCTATCTGTGTACTCTCAATACCGAAAGTTATACTACTCCAAAAGCATTGGATTTATAGGTTAACTAAGGGTATGTTTGGGACTGCTTTCTCATTGCTTTGTTTTTCATAGAACAATCACAATTTCGTTTGGCTACCGTTTTTTAGAAATTTTTATAGTGAAGAGCTGTTTTTTGCAACCATAGTAACTAAATTGTTTTCCCTCCAACAACTCACAACCAACATTATAAAATGTTGCAGTCATCCCAAGCAGACCCTAGAATTTAACATAAAAAAGGTTATATATTTATATATTTAATCTTTCGTTATTCTGATTAAGTGACACGTTAAAAAGTATTTAATTATTAGATTAACTAAGAGTTCAGATCTGATAAAATGACAACGAAAGAAATTAAAATCAGGTATCGATAAATTATGTCAACTAATTGAAAGAGTGATAAATTTAGTTAAATAGGCAATCTTAGTAAATTAATAAATTAAATTAGTTCAATTAATAAAAAAATATTTTATTCTTATTAATTGATTTACAAATTTATAAGGGAAATTACAAATTTTACCAATTAAGACATCAATTTATGCTAATTAATTGGACTAATTAGGTTTTTAACTATAACATATGGTAATTAATTAAGCTAAGTAATGAGTCATTCATTATAAGCTTATTTAATTGCATGCTAGCTAGTTAATTGCTTAAAAAATTTGTACTAATTAATGCTAAAGATAATTAATTAGGATGATTAGGAAAGAATGCAAATAAGAGAAATTATTTAAAAAACTATCGAACTAGAGATATGCCATTTAAATAGTCATATACTAATCAATAATAAAAAAAACTTAAGAAAGAATTGATAATAGGAATTAGTCAAATCTACTCTTTTTTGTAAGTAATTAAAAAAATTGAGTAAGATAAATTAAGAATTATTTAAGCTAATAATGCAATGTTCATTTTTAATTATAGATTAAATATTTAATATTACAAATTTTAATATATTAACTAGTTATTACTATATGATGGATAAATTAATTGATGAGTCACAACTACAAGATAACTATATAAAACTGGGATAAGTAATTAATACACAAAACTATGCTATTTATAAATTAATAATTAAGAATTAATCAGGATAACCAGAGTATAATAAAACCAATCTGATATTAGCTAGGCCAACTAATAATTAATTCAAGGATAATAAATCAATTACAAAAATCCATTAAGCATTTGATAAATAAAATTAATTCAAGATTCCATCTATAATTATGAATTAATTAATATTAAGATATTCAATTAAAATATTTCGAACATAATATTTAGTGGAGATGATTCCTTAAATATATTATTGATTAGGGTGGTTAATAATGCATTCTTTATTAATTAATTTATAATTAGACTGACTATTAATATATGTTCACTAATAGTAGTGCACTTAGCTAACAGAAGAGACAAATTAGTTATCAGTTATTTATGATGCTCTGGCTAACAGAAGACATATTAAGGCTTTCAAACTTTAGAGCCATAATGCCAATTTAAAAAACATTACCAACGTAATGATAAATCAATTTGAGATTCAAAAGCTGCCAAGTTAAGCAAATACAATCAACTTCAGTTTAGATTACAAGTTTTTTCAGTCTAACCTTTCCATTTTACTGCAAGGAGGAGCGGCATATATATGATCCCTAGTAAGAATTTCTTTCTCTGCAAGAAATTCTAAGACCTGCAAAGAACGACAATGACCAAAATCAAATGAAGGGCAAGAAGGCCAAGGATAAAATGAACTTATACAAATACCAAAGGACTATGGGACAGTTTAGTTTGGAGTATTTTGAGTTCAAAGTAAACGGAATGCACACATTTTAAAATTTTAGATCATTAGCTGGATGAAGAATAAATCCAATGTAATTTATTGATAAATTCGAAATTTATTCTTAAATTCATTTAGGAAGTATTTGGAAGTTGCCCAAAACAGGAAAATTTCAAAGACACCGTGACATAAGATCACCTTCTCTTCCTGACAATAGCAAGTCCCGCGACAACACTCTCTGTAACCTAGCAACCTTTGTAATGCCTCCAACTCCTCACCTGGCATTACCTTTGCCTTTGGGTGTCAATTGCTACACATAGCTTGCTCGATCTCAAGAACGACCGTGACCTCCGGCTTTGCCTTGACCAAACGACTGAGACCTCAGATGGCAAAGACTGCACCCGCTCCTCTCCTCTCCGCACAACCCCCGTAAGTCGCTATCCATGGCATTAATTAGGTTTGGTTCTTTTTTCAAACGTAGAATTATTTTACTTCAAGCTTAACACAGGAGTAATCACCAAGATTTCAAATACAGCACATTTGTTGTACATTGCAATTAAAATATTCCAAATTTTTAAATAGTTGCAACCAAATAACCCCTATATGATAAAGGATTGCAACTTCCATTTTTTTTTTTATTCTAAGCTTAAATCCTGTCGACTTTGTTTTGAAAGCCTATAAAACTTCATTTGTAGTATAAAATTTTAGATAAATTTGTCTAATAAATACTTTATGTAGCGCAAGCTATATAGCTATTTCTAACTCATTAGGAGTCAACAATGGAACTTCTGCTAAAATTATTATAAGTTGATGCTTCTAGCTTCTCTATTTTAGCTCTTATGTTGTTCATTTCCATTACAAGTACATACAATTCACAGTCGTCCCTTTATGATAACTTCTTGACACAAAACATAAGCAATTGTACTCATGAATATCTTGCCTTCAAAAAATGTGATCTTTCATGAACCTCATAAATGGATTGTCTAGCGCTAAATTGGCTGGATTTATTTTCCAAGTCCAGCATGGCCCAACTAGGGACCTTGGATTGCACATAGAAACCAAGTTCGGTTGGTACACTTGGACAATAAACAAGGCTTGTTACAAAAATAAATAAATAAATGTATGTACTATGAACTTAATAAGAGAAATGGTAAGTCATATCAAGCTGATATTTCATTGTATGCATGTATGCAAACATGTAGTTTGATCCACGGTTTTCCAAAATAGGCAGTACAACACTACATATTTAATACGTCTAACTGAATAAGTAGCATAATCAATAAAAAAAGAATTAAAAACCCCCTTCAAAGACAATATTCCAGTGCCTACATTTCATAGAAATGCATGATTAGATTTATTCCTCCCCACTAGACCTCCTTAATCCTTGCCTTCACCTGCCGTTCCTGCCACCATAATAGGTGTTACTGGCAGAAGATGCAGAAGCATAAACTCATCTAACTCATTGCTTGCTAGCACTCTCTCTCTCACTCACACACACTCACTCCACACTTGCTCTACTCTATGCATTGCCTCCTAAACACAAGCTTATCCAATTAAATGCGGGACATAAATTTCACCTACTCACACCTTTCTCTCTCCCCTGCATCCCACCACACCAAAGCTGACCCACACAATGATTAGGTTTTTGTGTTGGGAGGAAGTAACCGCTTGAACACTAGAACTCATCTCTTCCCTGCCCCCACCTTTCCTACCATTGGACTAAGCGCTATAGGCAGAAGATGCACTAGCATATACATCATCTAACTCATTTCATGGTAGTTCTCTGATGCAAGCAAAAAGTAAGCAAAAAAGTTAGGAGACCCCTAATTTTTTTGCTAGAAAAACATTACCTTACTAGGATAAAGAAATTACACGAAATAGACAAAATACAACTAAAACAAACTTTAATATTATAAAAGACGATTACAAGACGCTTACAACTCTTGACACTTACAAACGACGCAATAAAACACCTAAAGAAGCTTTGCCATTCGTCGAGAAGAAAATACAAGTTGAATGGTACTTGCGGAGAGAAGGAGGAGATAAGAAGTCCAAGACGAAGATATGAGAAGCTCGCAAGCCTTCCCAAGAAATAGAAGAAGAAGTGGAACAAGCTCGCAAGCTTTTCCAAAAAACCCTCAGGTTTTATCTCCAAAAATCATATTTTTCACCATATTTTCCTTCATAAAACATCTTCTATATATAGGCAAGAGAGGGGAACCAAACAGTCAGCACATCCAACTAAACCAATTAGATTTAGGGAAATAAAAGGCCAACAGCCACAACACATCAGCCCTCATACGATACAGCGAAACAGAGAAGAGAAGCCACGGGAACCAAGCAGCCAGCCGCGTGAACCAAGCAGCCAGCCACGGGAACCAAACATTGCTTTAAAAACCGGACCGGACCGGCCGGTTCAACCGTGAACCGGTTTGAGGGGGTCGGTTCGATCCAATCATAAAACCGGCTTGGTTTTAAACCGGCCGATTTTGGGATGAACCACCAGTTCAACTGGTGAACCGGCGAACCGGTTCAACCCGTGAACCGGTCCAGGTTTTTTAATTTTTTATAATAATATTAGTTAAATAAATGATTTAATATTAAATAAATATTAAACTTAATCATAATTAATATTAATATTAATATAAAACTCTTAAATTAAATTAAACATAATATTATTATAATTTATTCAATCTCATGTCTTCAATATTTCTTAAGAACTCTTGGCTTGAGTCAAAGCAAGTCAAAGCAAGAAGGTATATATAATAGACAAAGCACAACTTCTAAGTGATGTGGGACTAAACATACAAAGTAAATAGGCACCTTTAGTTCCATATTCACACCATACAACTTATTTTTTCTTAATGATTTTAAATTAATTTTTATAACATGAATAATATTTTTTTTAGTTGATAATATTTGTTTTTTATAGTTGATAATATTTATTTTTTATCTATTTTTTTATTTTTTATCTATTTATTTTTTATATTTTTTATGTGGATTCTACATTAATAACTAATGTCATGAGTAAAAATTATATAATATAAATAATTAATTTGTCTAATGTATATACCTTCTTGCTAAATACACAAGCTAGGTGCCTCTTTACTTTGGCTCATGCTAAGAGCTCTTAAGGAATATTGAAGACATGAGATTGAATAAATTATAATAATATTGTGTTTACTTCAAATTGAATCCATGAATTAATAGCATACCTTTTGGATTAATGAGCTAGGAAATGCAATTAATCCCCAATCATTGAGCTAAAACTTCAGTTCAAGCATTTATGAGCTTGCACCAAGTAAAATTCAGAATTTTGAGCTCCATACCAAGCAACCAAGGCCCAAACCAAGAGATAACAAGAAGCCCAAAAAAAATAAAATCTCCATTTTGTTTTGACCCCCCCTGCATGCATCAGATACTCCCCTACTTGAAAAACTCATCTCCTGATGAGTTGTCTTTTGATTTGATCCGAGGAGATGGTGGAAGGGCATTAAGCTCTTGAATTTTTACTTGATACCTTTTTAGAATTTCCTCTCGTTCTTGCATAAATTGAGCTTGCAACAGTTGCTTCTTTTTCATGTACTTCTCCGTACACATGCATTTTTGATTGAAGTTTGTATAATTCATTCTGAATCGGATTAGTTGAACTCCCTTCTTACGGCATCCATCTGTCCATTGGACTTTGAACTTCAGAATCTTCTGGGTTGCATTCTTCCACAATGGACTCAATTTTATTTATGATTTTCCATTTTTTAACTCTTAAAAAAAAGACACAAAACAAACTAGGAAGATTTACAAACCTAAGCTCACATGACACACACAACAACTGCTATGACTCACCAAGACTTACTTGACAAACCGAGATAAGAACTTGCTCTGATACTAAATTGATGCAGGCAAAAAGTAAGCAAAAAATTAGGAGACCCCTAATTTTTTTGCTAGAAAAACATTACCTTACCAGGATAAAGAAATTACACGAAATAGACAAAATACAACTAAAACAAACTTTAATATTATAAAAGACAATTACAAGACGCTTACAACTCTTGACACTTACAAACGACGTAATAAAACACCTAAAGAAGCTTTGTCATTCGTCAAGAAGAAGGATACAAGTGGAATGGTACTTGCGGAGAAAAGGAGACAAGAAGTCGAAGACGAAGATAAGGAAAGCTCGCAAGCCTTCCCAAGAAGTAGAAGAAGAAGAAGTGGAACAAGCTCGCAAGCTTTTCCAAAAAACCCTCAGGTTTTATCTCCAAAATTCATATTTTTCACCATATTTTCCTTCATAAAACATCTTCTATATATAGGCAAGAGAGGGGAACCAAACAACCATAACACCTCCAACTAAAACAATTAGATTTAGGGAAATGAAAGGCCAATAGCCACAACACATCAGCCCCCATACAGTACAGCAAAACAGAGAAGAGAAGCCACGGGAACCAAGCAGCCAGCCGCGGGAACCAAAGGGGCAAGGCACGGGAAAATCAGCCAGCACAGGAAATGAGAAGACAAAGGGGAGAAGAAGAGGCAAGTCCACTTCAAATTGAATCCATGAATTAATAGCATACTTTTTGGATTAATGAGCTAGGAAGTGCAATTAATCCCCAATCATTGAGCTAAAACTTTAGCTCAAGCATTTATGAGCTAGCACCAAGTAAAATTCAATATTTTGAGCTCCATACCAAGCAACCAAGGCCTAAACCGAGAGAGATAACAAGCAGCCCAAAAAAAACAAAATATCCATTTTGTTTTGACCCCCCCCCCCCCCCCCCCCCACCCCCCCCCCCCCCGCATGCATCATTCTCTCTATCACACACAATCACTCTACACTTGCTTGATTCTTTGCATCACCTCCTAAACACAACCTTATCCATGCATTAAATGTGGGTCATAAATTTCACCTAGTCAGTTATTTCTCTCCCCCTGCTCCCACAACCCCAAAGGCAATTCACACAATGATTAGGTGTTTGTATTAGGAGGAAGTGACAACCCAAACAACCCCTCCCCTCCTGTATGGATCTATTAAAAAAAACACTTATGCATCAAAGCAGCATTAACAATCATCTTTCCCCTATTCATTACCACCAATATCATCTATTAAACTTAACAATAGAGGTATTTATGTCCTTTCATTAGCACAAGAAACCGTTTAAGAAGTTGGAAGGGTCGAAAACAAAAAATTTAGATGCTGGGGATCCAAGATAAAGTTTAGGCAATTGCAAAGCACGGGTAGAACCTATTTGCAATTTCTTTATTATATCTGACAAGAAAAAAAATTAGGTGCTACTTCATATTGATTTTAGTTCTATAGCCTCTAAATGAAACAAAAAGACAATAGCCATTGTTTTATAATTGATTTCAAACAATACATCGTTAAAGTATGACATCAAGACCAGCGACATTACTTTATAATAGGAATAAATGACATTAAGACCACTGACATCAGTTTATAATAAGAATACACGGGCACATAGTTCCAAAGTATTTTCCTTGACTAGCTTCCTTTTTCCAATACAAGTCAAAATTTTGAAAAAATAAAACCTGATGAGACCTACACTTTTTTGCTCACAAACGGAATTATAATCGAATTCCAGCAGTCATAAACCAATAGTAATGGTAACATCCAAACAGCATGTAATCCATAATGCCAGAATAAATACAAAATGACCAGCATTAGTAAATGATTAAAAATCCAATAGATTCTCAACTAATGCATACTAGAAAAACTGACCTTAAGAAGTTTCCGAAGAATGGGAATTCTGTTGAAGTTATCACGGTTCTGCTTCATCATATTGTGCAGCATTCGCAATCCTATGAGGAAACAACATAAATAAAGAAAACAAGCTGTCATATCAAACAAATCTATGATTAAGTAATGTTGGAGGAAACAAGAAAAACAAACGGCGAACACTTACCATTTTTGTTTATTATATCAACCAAAACCATCCGAGACTTTGTTTTCAAAATTGCATCAAGAATCAACGAAAGATCTCGAGCACTAAAAGAGGTAGAATGGTAAAAGAAATGCTTCATAAAAAGTGGGAAATCAAAAGTAAAGAACGGAAATGCATTTTCGTAACAAGTATGGTAAACAAAGAAAACAAGTGTCAAGCACCTCTGGGACATGCTGCCACTGGTTTCATCCCCTGCTGCTGCTGTTACAACTAAAAGCTTCAAGTATCCTTTAGCAGCATCCTGCTCAGAAAAAAGAATCCCAACAAGATGAACAATGACGTTAAAGAAAATGAACTGTAAAACTGAAGTTATTTTTTTCAACAGGTACCATCTACAGAGACCACAGTGAACATTCATTTATCAAATACATAAGAAAAATTGAGTCTATTCAAACTAGTTGGCAAAAAGAATTGCATCATTTCTATCAGGGAAAAAACTTTCTTTCAAAAAGTAAAATGGTGAAATGTCTGTTGGAAGGTTGAAAAATCTTGGAATCCCTTGAAGGCATATGACATCTCCATTTTGTCAGAATTTTTTTGGCAGTTCTTGCTAGAAAAAAAAAGAAAAGCTTTAGCAGCAGAAACAAACACACCCAACCCTTCTTAAACTCTAGCAATAGAAACAACAACAAATATTAAAGAATTAATGGCGCCTTGATTTGACAATAGAGTTGCATCATTAAAAAGAGGACCAATAATAATTTCAAAAGGAAAAGAGTTAAACATATTAGATTCCTGCTTAACATAAATGTAATTGGGCTTTATGTTTGATAATTCAAGAAAAATAGATGGAGTGCACATCATGTGCTGAAGTTGAGCAAATTAAATCATAGTTTGTTGGCATTATTTGGAAAGTTGTGGGTGTAGATTAAACTAGAAGACATACAACAGTTGACTTAACAGACCAAAATAGACCTATCTTAGTGACTGTAAGCTTGTTGGCATTATTTTAAAGAAAATATGTAATTGCATTTCTATTTTTAAGGCTTTATGATAAACCTTTCTATATAATTTGAATAGAAAGGTTGTTCATTTGTCTTAATACCAAGGCAAAGACCATTCACAAACCTAGATTTATCACTCGTTTTTTTTCTTCTAAATCATATCTAGAATTCAAGTCTTTAGTATTCATTAACATATCAATCATCTGGTCTCAAATCTATCAATTATTTAACTATTCCATACTTGTATAGGCACTTATTATCTCTCAAGCTAGTTTTCATATTAGCACTAATTTTTAATATAACTTCCTGCAAAATTATAGATATCACACTATACTCCATACAGAAATCTCTTAGAACATAAACTAATTAATTTTTGCATATTTAACATTCTAGATCACTCATAAATAATCAATCAAATAGATGTTCAAATTCAGATATATAATCAAGGAAAAAATTCAGATCGTGTCATCTCGAGGCTTTAGATTCACTAGGACATTGATCACAATGAACCCAATGATTTATTTCAAGATTCCTATAAAGTTGCTCATCATTATCATCGTTAGAACGATAAACTTCAAGGGTTCTAGAGTCAATATTTATATCCAATTGGAAGTCCCAATGTTTCATATGGTCTTTATGTTCTCTTTGGTCATGAAAATCTCAATAATATCTAGACTTAATATGGTCTCAAGGTTTCTAGTTTGTTCAAATTGCGGAAGGAGATTTGGACTCATCCTAAGAACATTCTGTTACGCCTGGACCGGTCCCAGCTGGACCGGTCCGGTTCTACACCCGACGGCCCAGAGTCGGGTGGAACCAGGCGGAAAGCGCAAAGGAGCGGGAGTCGGTGGGCCCAAACAGTGGCTAAAACGCATGGTGGGAGGGAAAATTTTTGAATGAGAGGCTGTTTTAGGAAGTCCATTATTGTCCTTTATGATTAATTTGTATAATTAGGAGATTTAGGGGGATTGGCTCCTCATCTTGAATTTTGAATTTTCATTTGAGATCTAGGTTTCGTTTTGGGGCTCTTAGCATCGCCGGAGATTGTGGAGAGTACGTTCTTCCTCTCGGATCGAAGAACAATTGTATCTTGATTATTTTGCTTTGCATCTATGGAATACAAGTCTTCACTTGTGTTTTCTCTCAATTTCTCCCTGTTTCTTGCTATTTTCTCGCTTTGGACAGCAGTTTTACTATTGGTTTTTACTAATTTGGGGATAGGAATACTTGTGACCTAAGTACTTCCTATCAAATTGATATCAGAGCATCGATTCGGGACCACCGGCGGCTGAAATTTTGAAATTTCAGCAAGTTTATCTTTTCCGGATGAAGATTTTTTTGGATCCGTTAGAAGAAAGATGGCCGGAAAGAATGTGGAAGTATTAGAAGGCGAGTTCGGACAACTGAAGCCAGATATGGAGGGAAAGTTCCTGGAAATCTCCACCAACAATGACAGGTTGGAAGGGAGGATCGCGGCTATGGAAGAAATGATGAAGAAACTATTGGAGATGAAGACCAATTAGGAGACATCAGAAGTAAGAGAGACTACTGACGGCCATGGCGTAGGAGGAAATCCAAACCCAATCCGAGGGAGGAATCCGGAGGTGGAGATTCTTGAAGGGGACGACGACATGCCACCTCTAGAGCCAATCTCTAGAGAGGAGATGAGCAGGATCGGGACACTTGGGGAGCACCTCCTCTTCGAGGAATGGGAGGTTATGGAGAGTTCCGGGGTAACGGAAGGGATCCGAAGGTGAGGAAGTTGAAGATGCCCATCTTTGAGGGCGAAGATGGCCATGGTTGGATCTACAAGGTGGAGCGTTACTTTGCTGTCAACGGGTTGACGGAGGATGAGAAGCTGACGGCGGCAGGATTGTGTCTGGAAGGAAAGGCTTTGGCATGGTACCAGTGGCGTGACAGAAGGGAGCCCATCCGAAGTTGGAGGGAGTTCAAGGACTGCCTATTAGAACGTTTCCGAGCCGATGGGGGAGGAGACTTCTATGAGCAGTTCTTTGCCCTGACTCAGGAGGGGACCGTGGCCGACTACCGAGACAGATTCGAGTACTTAGCGAGCCGTTTGGATCATATCTCCGAATCAGCCCTGGAGGGAAATTTCATGAAGGGGCTCAAACCTGAGATAAGAACAGCGGTCAGAGTGCTGGAGCCAAGGAATTTAGGCAAGGCGATGGAGCTTGCACAACTGGTGGAAGATCAAAAGAAGTCAGAAAGAGGAGCTCGAGGCAACTACTCAGGGGGATCGCACAGGATGACGACTACTATCTTGCCTTCAAAGGTGGGATCCTCAGGGAGTCTGAAGGAGACACCAAAGGAGAGAATGGGAGGAGGAGGAAACGGGGGACAGTTCAAACGGCTGACCGAGAAGGAGATGCAGGAGAAGAGGGCAAAGGGGTTATGTTTTCGATGTGATGAGAAGTACATGCCCGGACACCGGTGCAAGGATAGAACTCTTCAGGTTCTCCTCGTGTGTGAAGACGAGGAAGACGAAGAGGGAGGTGGGAGCGGGTCAGAAGGAGAGGAGAAGCTGCACTTGGATGTGGCAGAAGTCTCTCTGAACTCAGTAGTGGGATTCACTCCGAGTCACACTATGAAAGTAAGAGGAGAGATAGCTGACCGCGAAGTGTTGGTGTTGATCGATAGTGGTGCAACCCACAATTTCATTTCTGCTCAGATCGTGGATCAGTTAGGGATGGAGCTAGTCGACACAGGAGGCTATGGGGTGATGATGGGCACGGGGAAGGTGGAGATGGGGAGAGGAATTTGTCGGGGAGTGGTCCTGACCATCCAAGGGCTACAGGTCAGGGAGGATTTCCTCCCCTTAGAATTGGGAAGTACAGATGTCATCCTAGGGATGAAATGGCTACAGACTCTGGGGGAGACCAAGGTCAACTGGGGTGCTCTGAGGATGGAGCTAATGATAGAAGGGCAGAGGAAGGTGATCCAGGGGGATGCAGGGCTGACAAGAGCAGTCGTATCTCTCAAATCTATGATCAGATCCATACAGGAGGTGGGAGGAGGATTTTTGGTGGAGCTTCAACGTTTGGAGAGGGTCAGTGTGGGGGAAGAAGGAGACATTCCACAGGTGGTGCAACCGCTCATACAGCAGTACAGGGAGGTGTTCCAGCCACCCCAGGGATTGCCACCCCCTAGAGAGCAAGAGCACGCCATTCTTCTGAAAGAGGGAGTGTCACCAATCAGTGTTAGACCATATCGCTACCCCCAGATTCAGAAAGATGAAATCGAGAAACTGATCAAGGAGATGTTGGAGGCAGGGATCGTCAGACCCAGTGTGAGTCCTTTCTCCAGTCCAGTTTTACTGGTCAAAAAGAAGGATGGAAGCTGGAGGTTTTGCGTGGACTACAGAGCCCTGAACAAGGAGACAGTACCAGACAAATTCCCCATTCCAGTGATTGATGAGTTATTAGATGAGTTGCAAGGAGCGGTGGTGTTTTCAAAAATGGACCTTAAGTCGGGCTACCACCAAATCAGAATGAAGGAAGGTGACATTCAGAAGACTGCGTTCAGAACACACGAGGGGCACTATGAGTTCTTAGTGATGCCATTTGGGCTTACTAACGCCCCCGCTACCTTTCAGTCCTTGATGAACAGGGTGTTCAGGCAACACTTGAGGAAGTTTGTGCTAGTCTTCTTTGATGATATTTTGGTGTACAGCCAGACCGAGGAGGAACATTTAGAGCATCTAAAGGAGGTTTTGGGGATCCTACAGGCACATCAGCTGAGAGCTAATTTAAAAAAATGCAGTTTTGCCCAATCAAAGGTAGAATATTTGGGACATATAGTGTCTCAAGAGGGAGTTGCAGCTGACCAGTCCAAAATTGAAGCAATGCAGAAATGGCCCATACCCAAGAACATCAGGGGGTTGAGAGGTTTCTTGGGACTGACGGGATACTATAGGAGGTTTGTGAAGGGGTACAGTTCCATCGCCTGGCCATTGACGGAGCAGTTAAAGAAAGACAACTTCTCCTGGGGTGATGCAGCGACCCAGGCCTTCGAAAGGTTAAAGAAAGCCATGACCACTGTACCAGTTCTAGCACTCCCAGATTTCAGCCAGGTATTCGTGGTAGAGACTGATGCGTCAGGGTATGGCTTAGGAGCAGTATTGATGCAGAATCACCGGCCTATAGCATATTTCAGTCAGGTGCTATCGACTAGGGCTAGATTGAAATCAGTGTATGAGAGAGAGCTGATGGCCATAGTCTTGGCCATTCAGAAATGGCGCCCTTATCTTTTGGGATGACATTTCATTGTTCAGACCGATCAGAGGAGTCTGAAATACCTGCTGGAGCAAAGGATGGTTACTGAGGAACATCAGAGGTGGTTGTCAAAGTTGTTAGGCTTTGAGATCCAGTATCAGCCGGGGGTGGAGAATAAGGCAGCTGATGCCTTGTCTAGGTGTGTGGGGGAACTTCAGGAGGTGGCAGTTTCAGTCCCTTTGATGATTGATTGGGGGGCCATCCAAGAAGAGAGTATGCAGAATGAAGAATTGAAGAAGGTCAGGGAAGGCTTGATGAAGGGCAGTAGCAATCATTCAGGGTACTATCTGGAGGGAGAGAGGCTACTCTATCAAGGAAGATTTGTGATGCCATGAACATCAGTACACATCCCTCACATATTGCAGGAATTCCACGGCAGTGCAGTTGGTGGTCATTCAGGAGTACATAAGACATATAGGAGGTTGGCATCGGAGCTCTACTGGAAGGGAATGTATAAGGATGTCGAGGAGATGGTGGCAAGGTGTGAGGTGTGTCAGAGAAATAAATACATGGCCATGGCACCAGGGGGACTTCTCCAACCATTAGCACTTCCAAACAGAGTATGGGAGGAAGTGTCTATGGATTTTATTGACGGCCTACCTTGTTCAGAAGGGTTCACAGTTATTTTTGTTGTGGTGGATCGACTCAGTAAATATGCACATTTTATCCTCCTACGACATCCTTACACCGCAGTGTCAGTGGCGGCAGTATTTATCAAGGAAGTGGTAACTTGGTAAAATCATTATTTGGAAGTAAATAGCTACATAAATGCCAATACATCTTCTGAAACTTCAAGCGTCTGCATCATAAAAAAGCAAAGGGAAAAAACATCGAGATAGATGAAGCTTACTTTCTGCCTGCGTATGCCCCCATCCTCATCTAGCAGCTCATTAAGTTTTTCTTCAACTGTATACAGAGCAAGAATATTGTGATGCAGTGGTCAAAATATGATTTAAGAACTCATTAGGATGGAAAATAAGATTACCACCTTCGATATGCCTGCTAATATGCCGACTGCTAATAGCAGCAGACACTTTCTTTGTTTTTCCGGAAGACACGCTTCTAATACTTACCCTGCTCCGTTTAATTTTTACAGGTTGCAAGGCTTTCACAACATTATTAGGTTTTGGTACCATTAGAATTTCTTCAATTGGGCAAGTTGCACTACTTCTACGCATGAAAGAATCTGAATTTTGGGAAGAAATCTTTGTAGCATCATCTGTGACAGGTTTTTGCGCTGCATGATCACTTTGGAGAAAAGTATTCAGACAGTGCGTAGATCTTTCTGATAGCTGCCCAGAAGGTAAAGATCCGAAGGCAGCACTCAATGGCAGACTCTCATTTACAACATCACAAAAGTTTTGATCAGGTTCAATGTTGCTCAAAACTAGCTGCTGATCCTGGAACGGTTGACCGTCAGATAATGTAGACAGGCTATTTTTAGATTCTACAGAATTTGAAGACTGCATCAAACCATCAGTCAGATCATGTTCAGATGATGTCGGATGAATCACATCTTGATTATCAAAACTTTGATTTTCTACAAAAGCCCGTTGCTCTGACATGGTCATATTACCGTTTGTGTCCTTTCTCTCAACAGAAAAATTTTCATGGTTAGCTTCCTTAGCATCAGTTGTATCAGAATCAATCCTTGTAACGCCTAGCTCATTATCACCATATTCATCAATCATTACTGGCTCAGGATCGTCTGCATCTGAATCATCTTGTACAATAACCTCAGAGCTTGATGGATCACCACCTATGTAACCACGGCACTCAACAGAACCACACACACATTTCTTAGCAGCGGCACCAAACACCCTTACATAGTTGTAATCAAACGTGATTTCTTCACCCTGCAAAATTTAATGAAAAATAAATTAAAAAAAAAGGATGAAAAAGAGGCTCTTTTATCACAAAGAACTCAAATAAACAAATAAGGATAGCAGGCAGCAAAAACTGAAAATAAGAAAAACACCGTATACTAATATTGGGTAGGTAGTTCCATCTGATACCTTTCGGAATTCTAAAAAAACTATTTATCATTTATAAGTAGTTATGAAAAAAATAAAAAAGTATTGTTTTCAATTAATAAGTAGTTATGATACATAATCACTGAGTTCTCCATAGCATTAGGTGCATGAAAAATCAACATTAAGCCTGAACCTTTTCAAATACACACACAAATACAAATATATATATGCATAGGCACACGCGCTCACGCGCTCACGCACACACATAGGTGCACGCATGCATGTGTGTGCACAAACAAAAATATTATATATATATATATATAGGGTCTCTAGGGTTCTTATCAGCTAAAGATGAATTTAACACTACATTGATGCCATCATTCTTCGTCGATTATTTGCCTCTTTAGCAAATAACTCACATACTGTTACGCGCATAACACTTCCGCGAGGAAGAGTTACGTCCGGCTCAGATCGGGCGGATCAGGGAGAGCGGGTGTCGGCTGGCAGGGAGAGGATTTTGGTCCCTTTTGTGGGGCCCAAGAAAGATATGATTCATTATGTAATGAGGAGGAATCAAGGGGGGATTACTTAGGGAAAGAGTTCCAATTTTGAATTGAAATCAGAAAGAAAAATAATTAAGGAAAGGGGAATGATTTGAGAGGGAATTAGGAGAGCTTATTTAAGGCTAACTATGTGATTATTTTGGCATGATGCAATTTATTTATGTTGTAGCTTTTCTTTGTGAGTTTCTAGGCGGCATCTAGGGTTTGTGGGATGGCCAATCTACCTCTCAAATAGTAGATAAATTGTATATTTCATTATTGTTGAAACAATAATAAAAAATCATTCCCCGTCTTCGTGTACCTACAATTTTTTACTTGTTACCTTGTTGTTTTTACTTCCAAAACACATCAAACTAGTATCAGAGTGAGGTTTTTTGGAGACAAACAATAAAGAAGGTGGATACGTTGGAAGGCGAGATAGAGCAATTCAAATCTAGCATGGAGGAGAAGTTCTCAACCATAGAAGAAAGGTTTTCATCTATGGAAAACCGATTTGGAGTGGAGGAGATGCAATCCAAAACTCCACTGGTGGTTCCGATTGCCAACCCCAACCCAGAATCCACTTAGATTCCCTTGGTCGAAACTAAGAGAAAGAGATCAGACGAGAAGAGTTCAATGAGGAAAGCTTCTTTCATCAACCTCCTAGGGCGTCGATAAAAGAAGAATTAGGGGTTTTGGATAGGGAGACAATAAGAAGGGAGTTCTATGGTGGAGGTCATGGAGTGACCAACCACTATGGGAGGTCGTTTGGGCGAGAGGAATTGCCAATTAGGAGTGTAAGTGAGCTGAGCTGGCTCGTGAGCCAAGCTTATCAAGCCACGAGCTCGAGTTCAAGCTTGATGAGGCTCAGCTCATAAGCTCGCAAGTCGGCTCATAATTATTTATTTATTTAACAAAATTTATATATATATTAAAATAATATCCAACATTTATCATATATTGATAATATTATACTAAACAATAGTTGTACATATTTCAAAAAAATAACTACTACTTATTTTTTCAAGAAAAAGTTATTGCAGCATTTATTACCTTTTTATTTTAAACAGCTTTTACTTTAAATAGCTATTAAAACATGTCTCTTTTCGAGACCAAGTTCACAATTTAAAAGAAAAAAAAAGCGGCCCACAAACTTTGCACTGTCCTTCTCTTCCTCATTTTTTTTCAATTTTTCTTCTCCATCAAATGACGAATAGCTCTTTCTATCTTACTTCTTCACAGCCAGCACTTCCCCACGAAGACAAGGCAAAAGCTTAAGCCTAGATTCCATCTCGAGTCGAGCTCTCAAGCCTAAGAGAAAATGGACTAGTCAAGCTCCAGCCCGTTCTTTAGGCTCGACATGAGCTCAAGCTGCTCTTTTGAGAGATGAGTTTAGCTCGAGTTTGCTGCTACTCGAGCTCGACTTGACTCGTTTACACCCCTAGGCCAACCAGAGGAGGGGGACGAACCGAGCCATGGGGATCGGGACATGGGAGATGGATGGAAGAAAGGTGGGATTCCCACCCTAGATATAGGGGGCAACCATTAGTGAGAGAAAAAGATGAGGTGGAGAAACGAATGTGAGGAAGTTGAAGATGTCGGTGCTCAAAGGAGAGGATGCCCATGGGTGGGTATACAGGGTGGATATGTATTTTGCAGAGAATGGGATGAGAGAGGAAGAGAATCTTACAACTGCAGGGAGGTTATGTATGGAGGGAAAAGCTCTAGCTTGGTTCCAGTGGAGGGAGGCGAGATATATGATTCGTTCGCGGGAGAAGTGTAACGATTGTTTGTTGGAATGTTTCCGAGCAATTTAGAAATGAGACCTGCACAAGCAATTCCATGCCTTGACTCAGGAGGAGTCTGACATGGAGTACGGGGAGAGATTCGAGTTGTCATTGGGGAGGTTGAGAGGAATATTTGATGGGATGTTGGAGGAAAATTTCATGAAGGGCCTCAAGCCAAACATACGAGTAGACCTCTGATTGTTGAGGCCGAGGGGGTTAAAGTAGACGATGGAGCTAACCCAGATAACGGAGGATCGGAGACGGATGGAGAGGAGCAAAAAGAATGGCATTGTGAGAGGCTATTACAGAAGTACCTCAACTTCACTAGCACCGAGGACCCAGACGGTGTCATTTCAGCCAGGAGAAACAAAGACGAAGATTTTTTTTTTTTTTTGGTGGGGGGGGGGTTGACCTGGGGCCAACGTCAAGTGACTCACATAAGAAGAGATGCAGAACAAGAGAACGAAAGGTATATGCTTTCGCTGTGATGAGAAGTATTCAGACCATACACTTCAAATCCTTATGATTTGTGAGGAGGACATTGACAGTGAGGATCTGGCAGAGGAAGTATAAGGAGAAAAGCGCTTACACCTAGATATGGCGGCAGTGTTCCTAAATTCAATGGTGGGATTTACTGCAAGTCACACCATGAAGATGAGGGGGAAAATAAGGTAGCAGCCAGTGGTCGTCTTGGTGAATGGCGGGACTACTCATAATTTCATCTCAAATTGGGTCGTTGACCAATAGGGATTGAAGTTAGTAGATACAGAGAGCTTTGAAGTTATAATGGGAACATGAGAGGTGGAGAGGAGCAAGGAGATATGCAGAGGGATGGTATTGACACTCTAGGGAAAACATATAGTGGAGAATTTTCTTCTCTTGGATTTCGGGAGCACTGATGTGATCTTCGGGATGAAGTGATTATAGATGATCGGGGAGATGAAGGTGGACTGAAAAACTGTGGCTACTGAGATTTAGGTAGAAGGGAAGGTGGTGCTGCGAGGAGATGCCAGTTTGTGCAAAACCATGGTTTTACTCAAAACCATGGTCCAGGTGAAACAGGGATCAAGGCTAGGCTACTTGATCGAGCTGTAGAGCCTAGAGGATGTCTGAGACTCAGAGTCGATCAAGGTCCCTGATTGTGTATGATAACTTCTGCAACAATTCTTCGAGGTCACCTAACGGATTACCGCCGCCCCGGGAGCACGAGCACGCCATTACTGTGAAGGAGGGAGTGTCTCCTATCAGTGTCCGACCATACCAATAATCATAGATTCAAAAGGATGAGATAGAGAATCTTATTAGAGAGATGCTTGAGGCGAGAATCACCAGACCCAGTATGAGCCCTTTTTTCCAGCCATGTGTTACTGGTGAGAAAGAAGAACAACAGCTCGAGGTTTTGAGTGGATTATAGTGCCCTGAACAAGGAAAATGTGTTGGACAAGTTTCCTATCCCCGTAATCGATGAGCTGTTAGATAAGCATTTTGGAGCGATCATTTTCTCGAAGATTGACCTGAAGTCATGTTACCACCATATCAGAATGAAGCTGGGAGGTGTGCACGAGACAGCTTTCAGGACTCATGAGGATCACTATGAGATTTTGGTAATGCCTTTCAGCCTTACAAACACCCCAGCCATGTTTCAATCCCTCAAGACCCAAGTTTTCCAACCCTACCGCAGAAAGTTCATCTTCGTATTGATGACAATTTGATCTACAGTCATACAGAGGTAGAGCATATAGGTCACCAGAGAACTTTACTGGAGACTTTGGGGGAGCACCAACTGTATGCCAAACTGAAGAAATGTTCTTGTGAGCCAAAGATGGAGTACTTGGGAGATGTGGTAAGCAAAGCAGGGGTGGCAGCATACCAGTCCAAGATTGAGGCTATGTTGGATTGGTCTTTACCAAAGAACCTGAGGTAGCAGAGAGGGTTCTTGGCCTCACCGAATATTATCGAAAGTTTGTGTGAGGGTATAGCATGATAACATGGCCATTGACTGAGAACCTATAGAAGGATAGTTTCAAGTGGGGGGAGTTAATGACAGACTTTCAAGCAGCTGAAGAAGCCATGACCAGTTAGCACTTCCAAACTTCAGCATGTCATTTGGGGTGGAGACGAATCAATCAGGATATTGACTGGGGGCAATACTCATGCAGGATCACCGGCCCATTGCTTATTTCAGTTAAGTGATCACTAACAAGGTGAGGCTCAAATCTGTATAGAAGCGGGAGTTGGTGGTGATCCTATTTGTTGGGATGACATTTTATCATTAAGACAGACTAGAGAAATCTAAAGTTTCTGCAATAGCAAACGATGGTGACTGAGGAGAACCAAAAGTGGTTGTCCAAGTTATTAGGATATGACTTAGAGATTCAGTATCACCCATAATTGGAGAATAAAGCTGCAGATGCATTATCACAGAAGACACACGAGCCACAGATGACAACTTTGTTAATACCTATGGTCCAGATTGGAAGCATTGAAACAGGAGAGCAAACAGGATGAGGGTCTGAGGAAGATCATAGCCGAGTTGTTGCAGAACCCAGACAGT